GGGGGGGCTGCGGGCACAGCGAGGGGGGGATCGTCACCGAGGGGTGCCCAGGGGAGCCCAGGGACCACCCCACGAAACCCACGGGCCACCCAAACCATCCCGCGGTCCCTCACGTCCCCACAAACCATCTGCGGGTCCCTCGTGTCCCAGAGGGCCACCAAAACCACCCCAAGGATCGCTCAACCCACCCCGGGGTCCCTCGTGTGCCCAGTGTCACCCCACAGGAGCCCAGTGTGCGGTTTTGGGGTTCCCAGGTGTGTTTTTGGGGTGTTTTGGGGTGTTTGGGAGGTTATTTCGGGGTATTTTAGGTGTATTTTGGGGTCCTACCAGCAGGCAGTGCACGAACTCGGGTCCCCCCACGAGGGCAGTGAAGGTCCCGAGCTGCTCCGCGAGCGCCAAGAGCACCTCGTCCTCATCATAGATTGTGTCTGTAACCAATAACCAATCAATCAATCAATCAATCAATCCCCCCTCCTGAGCAGCCACCCACCACCCCCATCCAAGGCTGGGTTTGGGGGTTTCTGGGGGTCCCCGTACCGGTGAGGAAGGGCAGGAGCTCACTGCGGGTCCTCTCCACCCCCAGCGCCAGCGCGATGGTCGAGAGCTTCTTGATGCTGTTGAGCCGCAGCTGGAGAGGGGAAAAGGGGTCAGGAACTGCCCCGCTGGGCTAATTAAAGGCCCCCCAGGGGTTAAAATACCCTCCCAGGGGTAACTGAAGTGCCCCCTGGGGTAATTAAAACATTCCAGGGGTAATTAAAGCCCCCCCATTCGGAATGCCAAGGCCATCCAGCCAATCAGGAGCTTTGTCTCATGGCCCCACAGCGCCGCTGCTGAGACGAGCACCTCCATTGGCTCTGCCCCGCCCCGCCCACGCAGCTCGCCAGCCAATGGGCGGCCGCCGCCGCCTCGGCCCGCACTCCCATTTGCCAACGTAGGGCGGAGGCGGGGTCACCAGGGGCTGCCCCGCCGCCAGGGGGCGCCACGGTGGGGAGGGGGGATTCCAGGCCAATCAGAACGCGCGTAACACAATTAAAGGGGCCCAGCAACCAATCAGAGCGCGCCATTCATCCCATCACCATGAGGGCGAGACACCCCCCCGTTCCTCAGATGTAACGTCGCTCCCCATTGGCCCGTGCCTGAGGGGGGAGGCCTCCGCAGCCAATCAGAGCGGCCGTCTCAGAAGAACGACGGCGGGCGGGCCCCGCGGCCGCGGAGGGACCGCGAATATCGCGACAGGGCCCCGGCTATCGCCACAGGGACCTCGGATATACCGGGGAGCGGTACCTGCACGTCCTCGTTGCGGAGCTCGTCGATGAGGACGGCGATGGGGTAGAGCGAGTCATCTCCGTCCGCCGCCGCCATCTTGGCCGCCGCCCCGGCTCTGAGGGGCCGCACGGGGCCGCCCGCGCCGCTGCTGCAGGGCCCGGCCGCCGCTCATTGGCTGGAGCCGCCGCAGGGCCCGCCCTCCGCGTGTTCCCATTGGTCCGCGGTCCTGCCTATCAGTGCGAGCTCCGCCCTGCGGACGGCGCGCCCCGTGATTGGGTGGAGGGGTTTGAGTGACAGCGCGCGGGGGCGGAGCCGGGCGTTGCTCGGCAACGGGGCGGGGCCGGGGCGGGACTGGGACGAATTGGGACAAACTGGGACCGGAGTGGGACAAATTGGGACACACTGGGATAAATTGGGGTGGACTGGAGTAAACCGGGACTGGACTGAGATAAACTGGGACAGACTGGGACAAATTGGGATGATCTGGGATGGACTGGGACAAATTGGGATGGACTGGGTCAAACTTGGCCAAATTGGGGCCAGACCAGGACAAACTGGGACGGGACTGGACAAACGAGGACACTCTGGGGACAAACTGGCCCCCACTGGGACCCCCCCAAGTGCCAAACTGGTCCATACTGGTCCCACCCCCCCAAAACCCAGTAAAAATGGAATGAATGGTCCCATCCCTGACCCACCCCCACAGACACGATGACATCGAGCAGCCACGCCTTTATTTGGGGGAAGTAGAAGGCACTGGGGGGCCTGGGCTGAGAGGGAGGGGGTCCTGGGGGGCATTGGGCGGGGACAGGGGGGCACTGGCCCAGACTGGAAGGCACTGGGGGTGACTGGGGGGGTTCCTGGAGGGCACTGGTCCGTCCTGGTCCGTCCTGGTTTCCCCCTCAGATGCGGCCGCAGCTCCGCAGCTTCTCCACCAGGGCCGGGACATTTTCCACCTTCTCCCCCCCCGCCCGGGCCGGGGGCTCCTGCACCTGCAGCACCCGCAGCCGGGGGGGCCCCGCGGGGACCCCCAAATCTGCCGCCGGGATCACCTCCAGGGGCTTCTTCTTGGCTTTCTGGGGGGCACAGGGGGGTCAGACCCCAAATCCCCCCCCCAAATCACCCAAATCCACCCCAAACACCCTCAAATCCACCCCAAAACACCCCCAAATCCACCCCTAAAATCTCCCAAACACCCCCAAATCACCCCCAACCCCCCCAAAGGGATCCAGGGGATGGGACCCCCCAATTCTCCCCCCCAAAAAAAAGGATACGGGGGTAGGAGGGACCCCCAAATTCCCCCAAAGAGGACCCAGGGGTTTGGGGGGCACCCAAACGGGGGGGACACCCAGGTCTACCCAGTCAATGGGGGTTTTGAGGGGGGGTCCCAGGATTCCGGGGATGTTCCCAGGATTTCGGGGGGGTTCCCCTGGCTCGGGGGGGGGTTGGGGGTGCCCCTCTCACCATGATGTTGGGCAGGGTGGCGTAACGGGGCTCGTTGAGGCGCAGATCCGCCGTGAGCACGGCCGGGAGGCGCAACCGCAGCGTCTCCAGCCCCGCGTCCACCTCCCGCTCCACCCGCACCGAGCCGCCCTCCAGCTGCACACGGGAGGCGAAGGTGCCCTGGGGGACAGAGGGCACTGGGATGGACTGGGAACG